AAGTAGGTAAGAGGGTCATGGAGCCTTCCACGGGCCACAGTGAAATACTTCACTTTCTTTCTTCTCTGACTGACGCTCATTTGCATTCAATGGCTAACACGAGCTGTAGTTGGCCACAGGATATGAGTTGTGGACTTTAGTATGCCTGAGCCAGGATGGCAAAGGAAAAGCTGCTGGGAAGAAAGATCTAGAACAGGCCATAGGAAGGCTCCAGGCAGGTCTGTTTTAAGATAAGCTTCAATGGTTAAGATGCAACTAACATTTCTATTTACTTCAGACAGGTTGTGCTGGGCTCTGGATGGTAACAACCCAACAATATGCCCTTGAGTTTACCAAGAACATGACTGAGGACACACATAAGAATGAGCAAAGAATTAAGGATTCTTTTTAGGAATTCAGTGAAAGTTTAGATGTGTGTCATTTAAGCACATTCATTAGAAAGCGTGCCACAGCCCATGCCTGCTCCAGGGGATGCACCTCTTTTCTGTATATGGAACGCATGACATTGATGGCAAAGAGCCCCTCCCTCGTGCTATCAGCTGCCTCCACCTTTGCCAATGAATGTTTTATGTATCTCCAACTGGCATTAGTAGGTAATAAATAGTTACTGAATAAATAAAAGAAAAAAACATTTTTCATAAATCTATGGTTGAACATCTCCTGAAATATTCTTGGGCCACAGTTAGAAATGCTGGTCTCTGATGACTACACATCAAGAGCTCTCGTTGCTGTTGGTCTCCATGCCAATTACTCTTCCTTGTTTTTTCCCACCTGTTGCTCCAGGAGGAGGGGCTTCCCCACTCTGAGCACATTCACTATGAGTTCACTCAGACCGAGTAACGACAAAGGAATGTTGTGGGTAAAAAGGGGCTCATCCCAAGCTTTATTCTCATGGCAGTAGGTCAAGCACTAGACTCCTATCTGCCTGTCTCAGTGTCTGGCCCAGGCACTGTCTCTGCTTGGTGGCTCCATCCCCACTCCCTCCTGTTCCCCAATACTGGCCCCACTCCTTCCCACTCCACTTTGCGGCCTCTCCACCAGCCTCTGCTCCCTCCTGCTTCCCAGCATGGGGCTCTGTTACTTCTGCTTCCTGTTCCCCTCTGCCCCTCCCCAGGCCAGTATTTCTATGACTGACAGTTCACTCTGGGGACTCTACCAGCCGGTAAAAGCTCACTGCCAGTGGGCATGGAAGCAGGTTAAGTATGTATATGATGGGTGATATTAGAATCAGATGGGACTCTTGGACATAAAATTTCCCATTTTCCCAATACCACCCTCCTCCACAGGTCATCTCGTTTGGCCTCCCAGGAAGCCCCAATCATCCGAGAGAGGGCATCTCAGAGAAGAGCACAGTGCATGGGTTTTTCTCACAGAGCAAGGCATAGCTTGGCCTATCAGCACGCAAGGTTAGCTTCTCAGTTCCTACCAGCTTCCACAAAGGGCAAGGCAAGCACTCGCTAGTCTTGAGGGCTGATTCCGGTTCAATTCGTCAGCTCCGGTTGGAGTTCCATTCCCACCGGGAGTACTACAGTCTAGTCAGCTGTCATGCCTAGCATTCTCTGAACTGGTCTTTGTCCAAAGCACTCATTCTCACCTCGGCTCTCCAAAGCACTGATCTTCTAAACTATCTTTTCTTTCAACCTCTTCCTAGTTCAACTTTCAGTCTCTAAGATGTCTGTTCCTTTCGTTTCCGATTAGCCGAAGTTAAACCAAACACAAGCATGGTTTGATGTTTTGTGTGCTGACTGCATACCTGGGTGCCTGCTAGGCAACATGAGTAAAGGGAAGTAAAGATATTACGTCCCCTCAGTCTAGGTACCAGCCATGAGTATGAGAGAGCCAGCTGAGAAGAGAGGGCGGCGGGCTCCCTGGTTCATGACCATCCCAGCTTCCCGGGTACAGCTGTGAACATCGTCTGCCCTCCCAGAGCCCTCCATCCTAAGTGTTCACGACATTTCCAGTGGATATTCCTCTAAAACAGATGGTGTGAGTGACCCACTTAAAATCCTCCCAGGGCTTCCCACTGCTAATAGACAACTCTTTCACAAGAGGATCCTGGTCCATCTCCTGTCGTTTCAGGCTCATCTGTCTGCAACACTCTCGCCTTACTTCAAACATATCACCAGTGCTCACAGCATCTAGCATCATGTTACTCCTGCCTGTAACTTCGCCCACTTACTGGTCTGCTTTAACCCCTCAAACAGCATTCCCCTAAGAAAGCTCTCCTAACCTTTCTTGTCAGGTAGAAGTTCTAGGCACCGTGTTCACTGCTAGGGAAGAAGCCATGACTGGCAGTTCACCATACGCCCTCCTTTACTACAGTCCTTGACATGCTGCATGGTAATTCTCCACTTAAATGGCCACCTCCCCTCCTGAGGGAGGCTATGAGCTTTGCAAGGACCTTCTACTCAGCACTGCACAAACAGTGAATACAGAAGACACCCGGTGACTGAGCGGCTTAACTCATGATGGAATAGAAATCAAGACCAACATAATATTTCTGTGATGACTATGGTTACTTTTAGGTTGGGTTAGGCAATATCCTCTTGCTAAGATTGGTATCAACTCTGAGAAATATTTTATTCAGTTGTAAAGCCCCAGTTAAATTCCTTTGTACAATTGGATAAATACAGCCTTTGATTAAAAACTAAAATTTCCCCAGCCCTCTAAAAAGGGATGGGGGAGGGGAGTAGGTGTGGAAGAATGTGTGATCTGGCATATTCTTTAGTCAGAGCCATAAACGTGTTCGGTAAGACAAAGTGATGTTCTGATAACATTGATAAAAGTAACTTGAAGATTGGGTCACAGGAAGCCCAAGATAAATGCTGAGAGGAAACAGGTTCTTTTTGAAGTAGCCTCTTCATAATCATCTTCCCACACATTTGTTCAGCTTCCGAAGGAGGACTGAATACCTGATTTGCTTTGCAAATGAAACAGCTTAAGAATGACACATAGATAATGTTATAACAAATGTCTTTAGAAGGTTCCTCCAGCTGGCTTTGTGTTTAGCTGTGGCTTCGGAACAGTGTTAACTGTTCCCATAGGCACAGGCTAACTCTAGTCCTTTGGCTGCTACTTAAATTTTCTTTTGCTTTTGTTTTCTTTTTCATACTTGGTTTTAAAAGAGTTCTTGAGGGTCTTCATGAGAAGATGGGTGGGACAACATCCTCAGCAGCATCCTGGCAACACAGGCAAAAACAGGTTTCCCTTAGGTGCGCCTTAGTGGTGCTCCCGATGAACATGAGTATCATAGTTCCAAAACCCAGCGGTGGAGGAGCAGTAGGTGTGCAGCAGCGCTGCTTATCACCTTGCATATGCCATGGCAGCCCTTTAATTTTAACATTCTACACACATGTGAGAGTTTTACTTGAGCTGGCAGTGGGGAAAAGGAAGAGAGTGAGCCCTGAAATGGCAGAACAATTCTCTATTGCTATGCAAAAACACATTTAAGTCCTCTGAAACTTGCCAACAAATCAAGGTCCACTGCAAATTTCTTAGGGGTGCCTAGCACAGTGCTCGGTAATCAGTAAATGTCTGTCAAAAGAACACATGATTAATAATAATCCAAGCAATGTTACTGTTCTGAAGATATTTTAAGTTCATTAAGTTTTTGAAAGACATCATGATATCATTACCACCAAGAAATGTCTCCTTTCACCTTCTAGTGAGATATATTCTGCACACACATTTCTTTAAGCTTCTGTTCTCAAATACCTGATGAAAATGATAACAAAGCTGGGCTAAAAATATTTTTAGTGAAAATAAATTTTGTCAATGAGAAGAAGCACATTTAGAAACCTCTCCCAGGTTTCTGATTCATGATGATTTTCTGTGTAAAGATGGACAGTAAAATCACATAGGCCTCTCTCACATATTTGAAATTGAGATGTGATGCACAAAAAAAACTGCCTCTTAATATCAGGATGGATATCAACACAAAAATAGTTTAGTAAAGAAAAAGACTACTACTACAGACATTAGGTGAAGATTTTTATTTATTTGGCCATGCTGAATGTATACACACAATATCAATATATACAAATTGAACAACACAATTTATACATAAAATACAAATGAAGTGTGGCTTTTTAAATTAATGCAATAAACCCCATTGTACAATTTGTCATTTTGGCCAGTATATAGTATTATAGTAATGCTATTGAAGTAATGCTATTAAATTAATTATTTAAATTAGATTACAGTATAAGTTCAAAGGCACTAGGAAGATCTATGTTTCCTTCTAGCATTTTAAAAACAAAGAATAACTAAAAAGGAAAACAGATGTATACATTAAGAAACTGAACAGACACTGGTGTGCTTACATGTAAACTCTCCTGCTCCTAAATTCACAGCCCTGTAGGTAGGAAAGAGAGGGACTTTCCTTGAGTTAAGGGGAAAGATATTTTTAAAAGACTAAAAAGAAACAAAACAAAAAACAACCCCCAAACAATAATCATAATTTTAAAAGCATGTTACAGATGAAGCAGCACCCCCCAAGTAACCTTAAAGTTCTTGCTGAAAAAAAAAGGGCCCCTTTTCTCAGAAATTAGATGACATAGTTTGTCAAATGGATTCTACTTGTGGACCTAACACACAGATGCAGACCAGCCCCACCCGATTACAATCTTATACTTTTCAAGAACTTTACCAAAAAAATGAAGACTATTTTAATGTCTTCATTATTAGCGTATATAATTATATATGGTTTATTAAAGAATATACTACAAACAACATTCTACCAAGCTCCTTTTAATATACATAAATATTACTTTTTTAAAGAGGAAAAAATACCCACTCAATAATCTACTTATATGTGACATTTAAATCGGCTTACTTATTTCAAATAATAGGCAAGTTTATCTACATCCTTTCATGAAATTAACACTGAAGTAACAAAAGATTTTATTTGTGGACAAAGGTATAGTAAATGTGAAGAAACCACAAGAACTGCTACACCTGAAACTACACGAACAGTTCTACAGTCAGTGTCTTGTGTTTTCATATGGATATTCAGGCCTGGCTCAAATATCTCATTTTGGTATGTCAAAAGATGAATAATGTCCTTCTGGTGTAATCAGTTCTAATGTAAATGCTTTTTTAAAAATGCTAAAGCAGCCTGTTTTTCAAATTTCTCGGTGTGTTGACTTTTATAGATTTCTTTTTTTCATTTTTTCCCCTGCAATGTAGTGGAATAGAAATAAAATCTAACACATTGGCTTCAACTTTCTATAATGTTTTAAAGCTTAATGCAAAGTTATTCCTTTCCTATTAACTGGATGATAAATGGCTAGAAACATGGACTTTTAAAAGAAGTATTCCTCTTCTTTTTCTATTGGCAAAATTAAGATTTCTCTCGAGTAATTACTAACAGTTAAATATGTATCTACAATTGCCAAGATTTTCTTCTCACACAAAGCTTTTACAATACACGATTCACCTCAAGTCTTCATAGTACCTAAACAATGCCTCACAGATTAAAATGATAAACTTCTATCTATCTTACATATTACAAAGAAAATGCTGCCAGTTAAATGCAGTTCTTATCACCTAGAAAATATGCACCATACACAGGGTACCACCTTTTAGTACATCACCTTTGGAATGTACTTTAAACTTCTGGGCACACTTTTACCACCATCTCAAAAGTAAGTCACCTACACTCATCCTTATTCTATAGCTTTATAATTAAAAACATTCATGTTAACTTTATAAATACTAATTTATGAAGTCTCAAAGCTTGCAAACAATGTGTTTCAGGACTGATTACATAATTTTAAAACTCACAGAAGATATATTAATGGTTCAGGAGTAGCGTAACTTAACAATTGTAAGCAGCCAATAAAATAAACGATCTAACACTTAACAATTTATTTTGCTATAAAATAAAAATAATTTTTATTTTTAGAGGAACATGGTCTAATTGGTTTTGTCAAAAGAAGTTCAAGGAAGAATATTTTCTACTTATAAAATATGAAGAAAAACAGTGTTTTACAGGCAAAGGATTAAAAGGTATTTTTCTTGGTTTGGTTGCTTTTTCTGGAAAATGGGGACCTTTCTCAACTGGAAGGTACAGAGCAATTTCTACCAAAATTTAGAACTCAGACACAAGATAGCATCCATTAGTCATACTTCAAACTGAACTTTAAAAAATATACACATATGGACAAAGATTAGTAACTAGAATTTAGCTTCTTAATTTTGTGCAACTGTGACTTCTTCATATTTAGGTACAAATTCAATGTTTCAGGAGACCATGAAACCAAAACAAAAAAGCATTTTACTTGAAGTCAAAGTGGCAAAAAAGGTCAAAGAGGTCCAGATGAAACAGCTTTCAACTCTTGTTTTTTAAACATTGTATTTCCAAATATTGGCTGTTGAATTACAAAATTTTCTGCAGATCAATAAGATCAGTCACCTAATACCTAAAATACAATGAATGTTAGTATAAAAACTGGAACATATTTAACAAGCTGGGTGGGTGTTAGTATTCAATCATTTCTTAGATATGCAACCCATACATTCATATACAACAGCACAACACAGGATAAGCAGATCTACTACTTTCTGTATGCAAATCAGGACACATACATTTTTTGCTGTTTTGACTATCTGGTTATTGGTATATATGGTAGTTAATTATTAGCAGATACATGTAAACACTCAAACTGCAATCCTCCATAGCATAAGCTGTTTCCCCAACGTCACTGCACAGTATAAACTGAAGAGTAATACAACAATTTGAATTACCAGTTGTACAATTCTAATATTATATTAATATATAGAGACTAAAAGTTACTAGGTAAATTATTAGTTCCACTCTTACTCCATGATTTATAGCTTCTGTTATTTGAAATTACACAAAAATTTTCAGTGTTTTAAAGATTTCTGTCCAGGCAAGAAAATATCACTAATTTTTATTGTGATTTTGAGTCTGTAACATTTACTGAAGTAAAGAGTCAATTACAGTTTCAGGCTTTGCAGAACGCTTTCTGTTTGGAGAAGAGAAAAAGAAAACATGAATGCTTTCCTAAAGGACTGAGATTCATACACTTTACATTATGTCGTAGACTATACAGGGTAATCATACAGTGTAGAAACAGATCAAGATTTGACGTGGTTGACCATTTAAGAGCTTATATTCTATTATATTACCCGCTTTTTCAGGCTAGGGGCAGGTGACCTAGAGTATGAGCAACAGCATGCAAGGGCACTGCACTCCGTGCCAGCAACCAGAGTGAAAGGAACGGAGGAGGTGGTAATTTCCAAAACTAGACTAGACAACATGGCCAGGCCAAGGGGGCTGCATGCTTGCCAAATTTGAACCCATTCATGATCTCTTCTCGGGTGTGCTGAAGGTGCAGGTTTATTCCATGAAAATCAGAGGCACAAATCATCTGAGACAACACCTCACAGACAGGTGTAAGGACTGACAGAAATGCTGTATTAACGTACTGTGTTTACTGCGATTTTGCCTAGCACACTGAACTATGTATTTCTAATGAGGAATATATGGCACTGAACATTATCATGTAATGTAATGCATCAGTAAACCACTTATTATGTGTATTTGTCTATGTTTATGGCCATCTACTGATTTTATAATACAGAGGCTAATTCTGGTACATCGTGATGCTGGGTTAGGTTCATCTAATGCTGTCTTACATTATTTTTTAGGTTAATTAAACCAAAATAAGTATTTTTAAATGAGTAGTCTGAAAACTTAATTTATACCTTACCAAGTTATTTGTTTTAGGTACACATAGTTTTAAAAAAGCAGCTAAAATCTCATATAAATAATATTCTTGAAACGAGAAGATCCAGAAATGATAGGCTGTCTTCCCAAAATTAACTAGCAGCAGGGTAGAAACCAGTCACTTCAGACGGCCGCTCTCCACAATCTGCCCCAGCCCCTACCACTGCCTATTTTCCTCCTACACCAAGACCAACCATTTATGATTACACTCGATGCTATTTTTCTTACTAAACGCAGCTAAGAGGAAAACATCTCTATTAGAATGTAAAAGTGAAAGACCTCAAGGGATCTGTGTCTTTGAACTGATTTGCTTCATTCATTAATATTACATGCACAGCTTCTATTGGCACATGAAGTTTTTAACTCCTGGCATCCAAATGCTAAAGAATGTAAAAATCTGTATACTTTTAATAGGCTACTGATTCCTTCTCCCCAAGTACAACTGTCCTAAATTCACAAATATTAGGTTACATCTATGAGATTACATAACATATAAATAATAAAACCATACAACTTCAACCTACACATAACTCAAAAGTCTAAGGTATTCAAGTAGGAGGAAAAACAAGATTATTTCCTATCATTTCAGGAGCCCCAAAATCTTACAATCAGTTTAAACAAGCTAAAGAGTACTTGATGTAGAAAAGGGAGAAAAGAAATAAGCTCCAACCACAGCCTTCACATCCTGATTTCCCTGGCTTGTGGTATAATTCATACAGACTACTCAGCAGTCAAAACCAGCATCAGAAGAACAGGGAAAGGTGGTCAGAGACGTTTTGCTAACTAGTGACGGAGGAAATCAAGGTTATTGGGGTAATAATATTTATGACAGGAAAAAAATGCAGCTGAATACAATCAATACCTCAGATATCTAACCTGGCAGGTTAATTAGCATCTCACTAGAAGTAGTGTAAGAATTAAGGAATAAGACAGTAGATGGCTTATACATTTGGAAAGAACAAAATATATTAAAAATAGATTTAATTACTCAGGAGGGCTAACAAAGTTGGCAAACCTTAATTCTTTAGCCAGATTTTATTTACTCAAATTGTAACTACTTAAGGACTTTGATATGTATTTAATTAATCAGCCAAAATAGTTATTAACTAAGTCTCTAATTAGAATATCTCACTACCTTTATGTCAAGGAATTCAAAGAGAGTCCTTACCTTCTCCCTGTCTTTGGCCTGGCTTTTCCCTTTGAAGTCCGTGGCCTCTCTAATTTCATTAAGGACTGCCGTAGGCTCTCCTCAGTATAGGCAAGATACACATGGGAAAGGTCCACTTCAAAGGGCTATGTCAACAAACACAAGACACTCTTACAAGGAAGGATTTAAACCAGATTTGGGGGAAGATTTAGAACACTGAATAAATACCTAGAAAAAAGCCACAGAAGACGAGACCAAATAAATGTCTAAAACGATCTTCTTCTAATGCCATTTATCTGAATGCATTTTAGCAAGGGTTGGTGAACACAAAGCTCTGACACACTCTAAATTCCTTAGTAGTAGAGAAAAACTGTTGCTGTTTTCCCTAAAGCTGCTACTTCCTCTTGTAGGCCTAAGACTACGACTAGCTTTGAAAAGGGCAGACACACTCCAGAATCTAATCAGATCCCCGTGACCCAGAGAGGCGGTGAGGAGAGTGCTCCGAAGATGACTCCATGACGCTCCTGCGGTGAAGTGATAGCCTGCAGTCATGACTGGAAGTGAGCAGACCTACTCTAGCACTCACCCCATCCTAGAATCTCTATTCCCAAAAGATTAGCCTATTTTTCAGCATAGATGATTAGTAAACATCATGGCAATACAGTTTAGTAACCCACATTCCTTTAAAGAAACAACTTTAGTTTTAAAAAAAAGCAATCTTACATCTTTCTCTTTTTTATCAGGGACTGGAGTCTGCTTCCTCATGTTATTTCCTGTATAGGCAACACATTTCTCAAAAGAGGAAAAAGACGGAGGAGAATTGTCTTAGTTAGCAATGAATATTGTGAATAAAGCAAATCACTATGAGATAAACATTCATAAAACATGATTTAAATGCTGGAACAGAAAGGGACCCAGAGGTCATTCAGTCCTATGTAGCCCCGAACTACCCCATTTCCACTGAATAACACAGTTAATCAGAAAAACATCTTATTCACCCTACTGGATTTTCATTTGATTCATCATCCTGATCACCTTCCTCCCCACCGTAGCCAGCACAATTCTTAGTCTACAGGAAGTACTCAATAAACATTTCACAAACAATAAAGGTAATACTCACTAGCTGCCATTCTCCTATGTCTTCATTCCAATGGACATAGTTTTCAATCATTTCCTTTTAAAAGAGTCAAAGATGGTCTACTTTTAGTATTTAATAACATTTAAAATACTGAAATATATTCATGGAACTGAAATCTTTACATATTAAATGAAAAAGTTAAGTCTCAAAACATTATATACTTCATGATACCCTTTTTATAAATTAAAAAATATATACTTGTAAGGGATATAAAAAGAAGGAATTAAACTGTATAAAAATGAAAAGAAAATGAAGAACATGGGATTCAGGATGATGGTTACCTTAAGTCAGAAGAGCCAAAGAGATGGAAGAGGGGAGAGGGAAACCACTTGGTTAGATGTAGGTTACTGTCTCCGTCCTAGCTTTCTTTTTGGATGATGGGTTCACTACAAAATAACTAAGTAAAAGCAGACCATCCAGGGACCAATAAGGAGAGTGTACCATGAACCAAAAACAATAATTCTGTGCATCTGAGGTCCAAAGGAAAAAAAAATACTAAGGTTTATATTCAGACAAATTTCTTAAAGTTATATAGTCAAAATAAATTCTTAAAAATTCAATTTTATCTTACTACACTGATGGACAGTGACTTCAATGGGGTAAGGGGGGGACTCAATAATAAGGGTGAATGTAGTAACCACATTGCTTTTCTTGTGAAACCTTTATAAGATTGTATATCAATGATACCTTAATAAAAAAAATTTCAATATGTTAGTTTACTAAAATGTACTGGATGATGGAAATTTTGGTTAAAGAAAAATAGAGACAGATTTTAAATTATATTAGTATTATGAATTAGCATCCATCTTGGATGAATATCTGCATATCAGTCAATGTGGTACATCACATTAACAAAAAGAAATAAAAGCCATATGATCACTTCAATAGATGAAGAAAAAAGCATCTGATAAAATGCATCATCCATTCATGATAAAAACTCTCAACGAAGTGGGCATAGAGGGAACATACCTCAACATAAAGGGCCATACATGAAAAACTCACAGCTAATATCACACTTAATTGTGGAATGCTTTCCCTCTAAGATCAGGCACAAGACAAAGATGTCCACTCTCACCACTTTCATTAAACATAGTACTGGAAGTCCTAGCCACAGCAATCAGACAAGGAAAAGAAATAAAAGGTTTTCAAACTGATAAGAAGTAAAACTGTCACTATTTGCAGATGACCTGATACTACATATAGAAAATCCTAAAGACTCCACCAAAAAATTATCAGAATAAATGAATTCAGTAAAGTCATAAGATATAAAAATCAATATACAGAAATTTGTTGCATTTCTATATACAAATAACACAAACTAGAAGAAAGAGAAATTAAGAAAACAATCCCATTTACAATTGCATCAATGAATATAGTCAATAATTCTGTAACATCTATGTTGACAGATAGTAATGAAAAAAGTTGGGGTAAGAATTTAATAATGTAGATAACTGTCCAATCACTGTGTTGTATCCTTGAAACCAATATAATATTGCCAACTATAGTTCGATAAAAATAAATAAAAATAAAATAAACTATAATTACATCAAAAAGTAAAAAATGCTTAAGAATATATCTCACCAAGGAGGTGAAAGATCTGTACTCTGAAAACTGTAAGACAATGATGAATGAAATTGAAGATGACACAAATAAATGGGAAAAATATTCCATGCTTACGAATAGCAAGAATTAATATTGTTAAAATTGCCATACACCCAAAGCAATCTACAGAATCAGTGCAATCCCTACCAAAATACCAATAGCATTTTTCAGAGAACTAGAGCAAATAATCCTAAAATTTGCATGGAACCACAAAAGACCCAAACAACCAAAGTGATCTTGAAAAAGATTAACAAAGCAGGGGGAACCATGATCCATGATTTCGAAGTATATGACAAAGCTACAATAATCAAAAACAGTGTATACTGGCACAAAAACAGACACATAGATCAATGGAATAGAATAGAGAGCCCAAAAATAAGCCCATGTTTATGCAGTCAATTAATATATGACAAAGGAGGTAAGAATATACAATGGGGAAAAGAGTGTCTCTTCAATAAATTGTGCTGGGAAAACAGCTACACACAAAAGAATGAAACAGGATCACTGTCTTACATATACACAAATACAACTTCAAAATGGATTAAAGACTTGCACGGAAGACCTGAAATCATTAAACTCCTAAAAGGAAACAAAGACGGTAAACTCCTAAACATCAACATTAGTAATTTTTTTGCTGGATAAGTCTCCCCAGGCAAGGGAAAGAAAAGCAAAATAAACAAGTGGACTGCATCCAACTAAAGTTTCTGCACAACAAAGGAAACCATCAACAAAACAGAGAGGCAACATTCTGAATGGGATAAGATATTTTCAAATGATATATTTGATAAGTAGCTGATATCCAAAATATATAAAGAACCCATACAACTCAACAGCAAATAAACCCCAAATAATTCAATTAAAAAATGGGCAGAGCGTGCCTCATATCGAATTTACCGAGTATCATAATTCTTCCAAGTGGTAAAGATACCTCAAGACAAATGCTGGGCATAGAAGCCACCTTCTCAAACAATATGGCTTCTCTCTCACTTGCCAACTTTACATTTCCCTGTATGGCCCTGGAAGATGACTGGTTAGCCAGAGACGGGTAAGATTCCTCAAGGGAGGAACAACCTAAGACAGGTACAGTCGCAGGGGGGCCATCAGGAGAGAAATTGGGGATCAACAGAGGTGAGGCTCAGAACCTCACCCCCCTGTTTTGAGAGAAATCTTCTGCATGCGTGAATGTTTTATTGCCCTTGTCTAGCTTGGATTAGCACATAGTCTAC